ACTGCAAGTGTTGGCCTTAGCCATAGCATCAAACCAGATTAGCAATAAAAGAAAATATAACTCATTCTGGTAGGTTTATCTTAAGGATAAAAATAGTCTAAGGATTATAGTCCTATAGTTAAAAATGAATAGACCTGGGTTTGTAATATAGTAACATTAATATCAAGATCAGATTAGAGAGTTTAAATAGAATATCTAAGCAAATATATTAGATATAGCAACTGATGAAAAACCTTCGAGTAGACTTCTTAAATAGATAATATAGAAAAGTTACATATGTAGTTAGTTGTACATTTGTCTAATAGTTCATTATAAATATGTTTATATAAAATATATATCTAATATAAGTATTAATAAAAAGCTAGAATCAAAGAGGTTACCTTAATACTGAAAAAAAAAATTGAATTGGTAGTCTGAAGAATTTTATTAAAGTAGTAATTAATAAAGAATAATAAAAAAAATATTAGAAAGATGGATACTAAGATTTGGATAAAGTTTACTAAAATATAGTAGTTTAATGTTTAATCTTAATTACAAATGCTAATCTAAGCCAAAGTAATAATATTAAATTAACTGTAAGTATAAGATATCAAAAACTCTGATAAGTTTAATACAAAATAAATATAACTTAATAACTATGCTATATTTATATTAAAATACAGTTAATAAGATAAAGATAAATATAAAAATTCGAATATTTAAATAAAAAACTTATAAACAAGTTATATATATAATAACTAGTATAAAACCTTTGTATAAACTACTTAAATTAGTTAATAACTAAAATTGTACAAATAACTAATTATATACTTATTTCATAATTAGTTCTGTAGTTGTTATACAAACAACTACAAGCAAAATATTATTAATAAACTCTTGAAACACATGTACTCATCTTAATATTAAAAGAATATTATATTAGATAACTGTAGCATTTAGTATTATAGTAATTTTTTTTTCCCTTAAGTAGTTACAATAGTATTTTATTAAACTATTTGTAACTACATATATAAATACAGAATATCATTTAACTTATAAGTCTATTATTATTCAGTCACCCAAATGGTATCTAAATGTAATCTGCTATACTAATCCAATTAGAACTAGAAATTACAACTTATCTAATTCCCATCTTATAATAAGATACTGTCAATTTGAAGACATCTTCTTATAGAAAAGAAAAAAAAGAAAAAAAAGAAAATGATTTTAAAGTTGGGAAAGAATGAAACAAAAAAGAAAAATAAAATAAAACTAACAAAAAGAAAATGAAACTAATCTATAAAAAGAATAAAGAAGGAAATCTGCTAATAGAATAAAACTCTGTTTTACAATTGCTACTCATTGCAATATTTTTATATTTTTATAAACTATGACTATTTTTAGAAACTAGATATTTTTAACTAAAATAAAAACTATATTTACTTGTAAGACAGAGTTTGAATTAGGTATTTTTCATATAGAAGAAATTATCAAATAAATAGAATACAGTGCCAAGATTTGAAAAACACTTAAGCAATTCAATTCTTTATAAACCTCTATAAAGATTTTTTTAAAAATATTATACATATAACCTCAGAATATACATATATTTTAATATATTTTTAGTTTTTCTGAATTAAATTTTTTTCTGATCTGCTCTACATAATTGGCTAACTCATGTATTTATTGTGTTCCTTATTTGCTATGTTCAAACAAGCATATAATTGTAAAAAAAAATAATATACAATGTTAATCTTTTGATAAGAATAAACCAAATTTTACTTTTTGAAAAAAAAGAAAAAAAGATGAAAAGGAGGTATATTGTTGTTGCAAGAATCTAAGTTAAGAAGAGTTTTTCTAGTTGTTCTTTTTCTTCTGCTTCTAATATTTTTAACTAGAAAACTGATTTTGTTTCTATTTGTTTTTAGAATATCTTTCTAGTTTGAATGTTAAATATGTAAGAAAATCCACCAAACAAAAGCTTAATCTAAGACAAGAATCACTTAAGTTTTATCTGCTTTTCAGTGTATTATATACTTGAGCTTTGTCAACAGCAAATTTACTTAATATAAAACTAAGAATATTATTCACTTTAGAGCCAGAGTCTTCAATCTACTTTTAGTGCCAACTTTGTTCAGGTAATTATTAGAAAGAGTTGACTTAAAATAATATATTAACATAACAAATTGTAAATTTATATTTAATAATAATACAAATAAAACTAATAAAATATAAATTTAATAAAAATTGAATAAATTTTTGATTCAAATATGATTACATCTGTATTATAGTTATAATTATTATTTTTAAAATAACTTATAAAAAATTAACCAATAATTATTTTGCTAATTTGATAAATTATTAATTTTGACATGATCAATATATTATTTATTATTTATAAAAATAGTCTAAAATCTGATATGTATAAAGGTATCAATCAATTTATAAATTAAAACTCATATAAACTATAAGATCTCTACTTTCAAGAAATTGGAATCCTATAGCCCAGTAGTTTAGATGCTTTCTACCTTTTTCCACAGACAAGATCAATGGTTTAATTCTAAATAAAGATAAAAACTCTGTAATCTACAGAAATATATAAATATATATAAATCTCTATGACTAAATTCATGTGAATAAAAGATCAGTATATAAGAAAATTTTTGAAAAGAAGTTTCCTAATATGGAGAGTTAACACTCAATATGAGAAAAGCAATGAACATACTAGACATAAAGAAAAAATATACTAACAAGTAATATAATGAATATAAAAGAAAGCTATAAAAAATAAATGAACTTACTGAAATTCAAATCTTTCTGACACTAATACTAGTTTTAGTAGGTACAAGATACATTAAATTTGGATAAAAATCTAAGAGCTAATCTTGATATTATACTTAGTAAGTTTGTGTCAAGAGTAAATTTGAAAGACTATGGATACTCAGTAATATCCAATGAGATAGTACTTTGATATAAATACTATCGCAACCCATTTTAAACTTCGGTAAAGTTGAGATAATCCATTTAAATTTATCGTTATAACTTTAGCTTAGATACGTTTTTCCAATATGTATGCCATTGTTTGTTCAGAATTATAATATATAAGTTAGCACATGAAGTCAATATCCTATTGACTAGATGACTCACAATCGATGGTCAAAATTTTCAAATTTTGGGGTATTTTACAAATGGATTATTATCGATTAATAATTGTCACTGCGGCATCATAAATAGAGGACATTTAAAGCCTTACAAATCGATTAGCATCTACATACGTACGTACCTGGTTTTAGACCATCTTTGTAAATAATAAATTTTACATTGATCATGCCGAAATCAACAACTAATCGAATCGGCAGAATAATCATTCGGTTAATTTTTTGATCAAAACTTATCGAATCGGTAATATTCGGCCGGTCAATTTTTGCCAGATTTTCTAGTACTAGACTTTATGCAATTTTAAATTTTTTTTTGCCGACCCAGCCCGGTCCGCATTTATAAATTTTATTATTAGGCCCGGCACGCAGTTATAAAATTTTCTCGCAAAGATTTGCGGGCCGGGCTGGGTCATGGGACCAATTTGGTTGGTATTATGATCGGAAAAATGGATTTCGGGATTTCGTAGTAGAACCAGTAATTTCAGGAGCGACCTCAGGTGGCAACTCAAGTCACAACATATCGACAGTCTGTACGTACGTGTAAGTCACTTGATTGGTACTTGTCAGTAGGCCTATTTCCAATAGAAATTTTTTGTTTGATCACAATGTAAATAATTTTCAGTGCATGCTAGTAGAGTTCATTATACAGCTAATTCTAATGAACAAAAATATCAGAACAGTCGATTCGATATAAAGATGGAGACGATTGCATAATTCCTTGGAATTATATCGGAATCATGTTATTGTATTACATTATTGTTTTGAAACATTTAAATAGAATTATTTGCGGCAGAAAAGAAGCATGAAGAACAATATTCAAACTACGGAAAGCATAATATTATTAAGGGGTAGATCGCGGTTAAATAATCAAATTATTTTAGTAGATCTCATTTTCGGATTTGTATCATTTCAATTCACCGACAACTATTTCAACGAAAGCCCATTTTACCGACAAGTTTTTTTTAAAAAAATTGCACTAACATTAACTTAATTCTAATCTGACCCTAACGAAATGACCAGAATTACTTTATCGGTGAAATGATTGTCGGTGAAATAACTGTCGGTGAATTGACTGTCGGTGAAATAGGCTGTCGGTGAAGCGATTGTCGGTGAAATGAGCACCACCCGCATTTTCACCTTTATAACCATAATTTTTACATATTTCCAGAACCTTCGGCATCTTGACATTATATGAAAATAAAAGTAGCTCTCCGCCGATTTTTACTACTCTTCAACTGCAATCTACCACTTAATAAAGTTTGACGATAAGTTTACTTTCTTCAGAAAGATAACACTTGTAGCTACGAATGAGTATTGCAGTGCGAAATTCTATACTTATACTTAATTTATGATCAGTTACAGGTTTTCGCGCTGTAACACTAAACTCATTCAAGCGAAAATTTGATGTATGTGCAATTTAAAAACCTTGCTGTAACCTTAAGTCGTGCGATTGAATGAGATGACACCTCTTAAATACTTGAATGTCAACGATAGGACTGTATATAGTATATTATGCTAATTTATTATGTGAAATATGAATATATTTCTATTGGACAGATTCTTTCTTGAATCAATTCCTTACACAGAGGCTTCGTGCTAGTACACTATTATGCTATTCTCATTTCTTCGTTTAACTTAATTAGATCAGCATTAACACATTAATAAACACATATTAAAGCTTAACTTTCTCACAGAAAGATTAGTACAATTAAAATTGCTTAACATCAACTCTTAATTTTTAAAAAAAAATGAAATACATAATTTTATAAGAAACATGAGAGTTAAAAAAGGTTCTTAATCATAGAGCGTAAAATAATTCGGTGTATGTCATATGTCACATGATATTGTTCTTATAAAGACAACTTATTGCATAGAACGCAATGAAGTAGATAAATGGACATAAGCAATCTTAACATGTCTGGGTTCCCGACTATAAGAGAGACTTGCCATATGCGAAAATAAGCGCAAAGGTGGAAGGTTATTATCAGCGATCAACTGTTTACGATAAACGGCTTTATAAATAACGAATGCTGTTGGTGATCTAAGGGGTCTTCCGACGTAAGTACCATAAGCAGCTTTAAGTTCAGCAGGAGTGATTGGTGGTGGAAAGAGTGGTCGTGAAGTTGTTATAATCTGAATATCATGAGTAGACATTTTTTTTTTATAAATTTGCAGGGAAAAATATTTAATTTTTCGTGATAGAACTTGGCGTCTGTCTCGCTAAAGTGAAAATTTACTAATAGCTAGACACCTTATTTATAAATGTTGTTCATTTATGAATTTATTCTAATTTCCATTGCAAGAAAAATTCTCAAACAGGCAGGATTCTTGATCTAATCGGACCAATAGACATTTAATTCATCTAATTCTAATTGCCTTCAACTATTCATAGATGTATCATTTCCGTTACAAACCAAAAAATGTTTTGAGAAGAGTCATTAACTTTCAATCCAATAGGACTGTTAAGACATGTAACCAATTGTTCTTTTAATCGATTTAAAAATAAGTCATATGTATTAATACCTTCGCTTTCGAAAATTATCAATCTATTCTTAAATCTTAAAATGGTATAAATGCTTAAAACGGTAAAGATTTACTTGATAAAATCGCGACAAAAATGTACTAAAGCATATTACCCAACCAGTCCGATGTTAATGTTATCGGTTCTTAGACTCCCTAGGCAAGAATCAGACCAATAGAATCAAGGAAAATAAAATCAGCGACATCAAAAGATCAAAGGATTGGACCAAATATTCAAATTTTATGCACGAGTGATATAGTTCACATATTCAATATCAATATAATTGGTTAAGTAAAAATCGTTCGAAACAGAAAATTGAATTTACTTTATGATCCAATCTTCTGACTTGATTATCTATGTCCACGTTTAAGGGAGTGCTTGATAACGAAATTGATTACCATATTTTGGGGCTTGTCCCTAAATTTTCAAACAATCTATCAAAATTTGGGCTCGTACGTGCTATAAATGGGAATTTATTCTGTGATTGATTCTTATGATTGCTGGATTAGATACCACTAAGTTTTATGAACATAGAATTTGATTAAGATTGCAGAATCAAATTCGAAACAGTTATAATTTCATAATTCCATTAAATGATTTCTCAAACATAGAGGACTGGTTATATAATTTAAGATCATTTTATACTTCAATGGATAGAATTGATTATTTATGTGACATCACGATGATTTGCCTTAAAAAGATATTACTTTATTAAAGATATTATTTTTATATAAATGGCATATAAACATAAGGTTATTGCATATACATAAATGATCAAGAACTAATAGATATCCTCGGCAGAATTTAGCTTAAAAAAATAGTTTTTTTTGCATATGTAACAACGAAATACGGCATTCGGAACCTCGGAAGTAAATAAATGTAAAGAAAAACAAAAAAAAAAACAATAAGACTTAAAATTCAAAAAAAAAAGTGTGTGTATGCTCACGATTGTCAACGAAAAAAAACCAATTACAAAAGGAAATAAGGTAAATAACCAATGAAATGAAAAAGTAACAAAAAAACAATAAAATTATGCATATAGTCACCGGGCCGGTCCGGAGATAATAAACAAACAAAATGAAAAAAATAAAAATTCATGCACGTGAACTTGTATAATATACCATAAGCGCGAATTTTTGGTATATTGTATAAAAGTAAATTTGTAGTATACAATAATATTGAGTGCATGAAATTCGATGAATTATGTAGGCAGAAAAAAGAAAGATATATGTAATTATTTTTATGATAATTACATGTCTAATGTGGCGCTCTGGAATCGATGAAATAGAATGGATTAGATTTATAACCAGAACGATTATTTATAGTGGCATTCAGCTTAATATTTCTGATAGCCGAGAGAAGTAGTCTGCCGAAATAACTGTCGTCCATGCTATGATTAACATTCGACTAATGAAATTTTTAAAAAAAGGCAAATGGTGAGATTTTCAATAAAAGTTAATATCAACAAAATTACTTGAATAAATTAGTACTTTTCTATCGATTCCTTGCGTTTTTTCAGCAAGGCCACATACCGGCCTTCATTCTGAATGAACAGAGAACTTAATGACCTTACATAGTTGAACGATTGTAAGCACTGAGAAGGATACTTTCGCCATTGAGTTTCGGCTAATACGGGTGCACCCAAACACTTATAGACAAGTTTTGGAGCATTCGCATTTTCACGTGTCTTATTATGATAATCTTGATAATCTAACATATTTAAACTTAGAGATGGTGCTTAAAACAGGGATATATTTTACATGTTGCAATAGTTTTTTTTTTTTTTTTTTTTTTAATATTTTTGATTTTTTTTTTCTTTTTTTTTAACAATCTTAATAAATTTCTGGCGTTTCGAGAAATAACATGCGCCAAAACCCGGGCTTATTTATAACAATGTGCTCTGCGAAAAATATGTCCCATTCATCCTAATGCAGACATTGTGTAAATTATGGAGAAAATCATTATATGGAAAGATTTTTACATAACAAATTCCATTGACGATGAAGCACTATAATGGATTATTAATCCTTATCCTCGGAATCTACTATGAAACTAAAGGAAGTGCACTAATGTCTCAGAGAGAATATATGACGACCAATGGCGTTAGTATTTCTCCGGCAATATTCAAGAATCTATATTGTTCCTCTTTGGGATATTATGTAAAAGTGTCACAGATTGTTTTAAATAGACAATATAAGCAAATTTGACATGGAAGGGACTCTAGCTTTCAAACTGCTACGTACCATAAGTTGGGCGTTTTTTATACTAAATGTAGTTTATCATGGAAAAAGTACCATAGTCAGCTAATGTATTTTGTCCTGAATCTTGATGCAAATGGAATTTCATCTTATGCATAATTGTAAGCTTTTTCGATATATGCGCATTACGTGCTGATTATGTAAGTTTTAATATAATTCGACGCGTGAAAAAAGTAATTCAAATTTAGATTTCGGAAATAAAAATACGTGCAAACTCCGGAGATAATTTTACTTCAAATATTAGGTTTTGTAAACCATTACATCTTAAGAAAGTTAAGGAGGCACAAATAAAAGATTTTCAGTAAAATGCAAATTCTAGACAATAATTCTAAGTATATAATTGTATAAGTGTATATGATTCAATTACCACAACATCCTATCAAAATAATTTCTATAAGAGGAAGAAATCATTGCACACATGTATATTAAAACATTCATGCAGCGTTCTTTCAGGATTTGCGAAACTTCATTTGGTATAACTGACACGTGTTAAAATTACACCTCAACTAACTCAAAAAAAAAAAAATTTATATGGATTCCAGAAATTGGTTTATCTAAGTTAATTGGTCTAGGTTCCTAAAGATCTATTTTCAGATTTTTTTAGGGAAAGCTATTTTTCGGATTTCACATGTGAAAAATAAAACAATCAGGGGGGTTAAATATTTCATTACTTAACACACAAATACACAGACACAGTGTTAATCCAACCCAGAGCCACTGGATTTAACCAAATCCGACAGAAATTGGTTTATTTTATTATATAGATATATAGAATTAAATAAAACAATTTCGGTTCGCGATATCACTAGTGCTATTTTAGATGCTACTAAAATCTGGAGCTCTGATCAAACCACGGATACGTAATAGGTACGTCATCCATAGATTATATTTGTCAGAAAAAACTCTAAAGATAGATTAAGAATACATAAAATGACATATATTATATAAATATGTATATTACATATATTACATGCATCAAAATTAACAAATCAACAGTTGCTTTCAGAGTAATCTATCCATCAACCATCAATCAATCATCAATCATTAATCACTAATCACTAATCACTTGACTTTTTTTATTATTCAATAATCAATTTTATAAACTAACTCCCTTTGTTAGTGTCCTAATACACTTAGACCGACAAAGAATTTTATATATAAAGTAAACATCGACTGATTAACGGATTTAATGCTTTTGTAAGTTAGTGCAACAGAGTTTATTTAATAATGAAATAATCAAATAATCGTTATTGTGTAACATTGGTAACATTGGTCATTCATTACTGGTTGTCTGCATTCTTTATTAGTATTAGTTGTAACGGTCTGTCCGAAAGGTTCATTTCACACTGATTGCGATGTCCCGAGTCTATGTACGCAATGAAAATTAAATTTTTATCCTTCATACTGATTATAACTGTGGTCGAACATTTCAACCATTTTGGCAACGTGTCAAACCGCTTCAAGTTATTAATAATGTGGTAGAATCAGTTTCATATATGTTAAGCAAGTTCACAAGACCCTTGGCATTTCAGCAGACGGAATGTTTCGTTGAAACTTCAAAGATCCAGCCAAAATTATTGATGATACAGCCGAAGTTTTCTGAAATCTATTAGAATTGTTTCAGGTCAGCTTATACTATTTGATACCTAAATAAACTTTTTGCTGACTTTACAAGTGAAAAAAAATTTTCGGTCACAGGTAAGTATAATACTGCTACTTCAGCCACATATAAAATTATCTTTAGATTATAGATAAATATTTACTTGACAATTACTATTACATAGTAAACATACATAAATGCTACATTGTTTATATTATAGGATTTAAAAGTCATAATCAACAGGGATGTTTACCTTTCACGAGATTTTCATATCTTTCATAACACGCGACATATCATTGTCATGTTTGTTATGTCGATTACGGTTTAAAATCGAATAATATTATCCATGTTTTTTTCCGGTATTACAGGCAAACACAATATTTAAAGTTCTTATAATTCAATAGGTTTCCAGAAAGATTGAGGTAGATAAACATTTTTATTAGATAACTATAATAAATTCGGATAACCGGGTAATTTAATTAATTTAATAATACCTGGTTAGACATTTTTATGTATTAAATAATAATAGCCATCGCTATGACAATAATAAATTACCCGGAAAACCGGTAAATTTTCCTAACGGGTACAATCTTTAGAGGAAATGTTAATTTATTTGCCGTTACAAGTTTTCATTACCATAACTAAATTCTGGTTATATCTTATCTGTGTTCCTGATATTCATGTCACTGTTTTAATGCAAACCCTGTCCCATGCTTATCGGATACGAATTTAATTTGTGGATAATCTTAAAAGAGTACGTATACATAAATTTGTGTTCATTCCTTTGTGTTATGTCTGGATGAACATGCCGACACATAAATGTTCATCAATCATACGTATCGATATATCAAACAGATAATTAAATAAATTAATTCATCACATGATAATGCTATTTATTGTTATGCACTATAAATAGTGGTTTACCAATTCTATTTTTTAGTACAACCGCTCGTTTTCTTTAACCACTTTTTATCTCTGATCCTTTTTTTTTTTTTTGCCCTCTATGAGAAAAAAGAAGGGTACGTATGACGTCTCACAACATACCTGATCTAGATATGATGGTTTTGAAACAGCCCGCGAAAGACTTAAAAGATGATCCCAATAATGATGAAAGATTAATTTTAAATGTTGGTGGAATTAAGGTGATCTATTTTAATATTATCTATATATTAAAAATTTCCTGTTATTAAAAGAATATTTAATTTCTTTATTTTTGAATAGTATGAAACTTTTAGATCCACTTTAGCTGCTTATCCTGATACGTTATTGGGCACAATGTTTCAAAAACGTAATAACACCTTGCTTCACCCTTTACATACCGAAAAAGGTGTATGCGAATATTTCTTTGATAGAAATGGTCGTGCTTTTCATTATATACTGGAATATTATCGTACTGGAAAACTTTTTTTAGAAAAGATTCGTCCCTCTAATCTTGAATCTAATTTTCTCGATAATTCTCCTTCGCAAGATTTATTACCCCAATTACGATGTCATTGTCAATGCCCCGATGCTATTTCCTATCAAGAAATCCTAGCTGAAATTGATTATTTTCAAATTCCTTACTCTATTCCTCCAAAACCGCAAGCCCAATATCCTCCTTCTTCAACTCTTGATTCATTCATTCTAATGTTAAAATCCGCAATGCTTACTGCTCGTGATAATTTTGATATTTACGTTGAAATAGTTTTTCCACAACGTAATAAATCAAAATTTTCTGTAAATCCGGATGTCGCTTGTATTTTAAATATTGTTAAACCATATGCTGAAAATGGTTATGCGATACTGGATACTTTTGGTGATGAGATTGGTTGTTATTTGACCAAAGTAATTCCAAATTTTACTTGGTCTTTACAAAAAAATACTATTTATCATCCTCACAGGTATTTTGTGGATATGAGTATAAATAGCGAATGTTTGGACAAACAGATTGTTTTGAGTGAATCAAAATTGCTTGGTCCTGATTATATTGATGAAATTGTCTGAATTGATAAAATGCGAAATTTTAGTTGATTGTTGAAGGATATTGCTCTTCTTAAAAGTGTTGATGCACCTTTTTTTAAACAATTGGTATGGTATTGAGAAATGGTGAATATGGATTGGAAATATCTTTATGCTTTCATTTTTTCAAGTATGTATCGTATTTTCATTATTTCTGTTTATAATTTCAATAAAATTTGTTATTTTTTTATGAGTTATATCTTAGTAATAACCATATTTGTGATAGTTCTTTTTTTCTTTAATAGATGATTGTAATTTCAAGAATTTATCTTTATTAGCTTTAATTTGCTTAAAGAAAATAATATATAGCATAGAAATAGGTTTATTGGAAAAAATTCATTTAATTATTATGCATAGCCGTTAAACATAGAACAATCTAATTAATGTTATATTATCCATTGAAATTATATTTTAGTTTAAACCGCAAGCTCTTAGTATTAAATCATAACGCTGTAAAACGTATAAAGTGTAAGTTGTCAAATATTTCGAGTCACAATACAAAGTCTGAATAAAATAGTTGCCGACTTGGGCCATACAATTTTAATGCCTTGGTTTTCGTAGCATAAGAACGTACTTACATATTAGATTTTGAAGTCGTTTTGCATTCGGATGTCAACTACAGTACGTATGTTAATGATTTTTTTTAGTCAAATATTGTATTTTAACTAATAAAATAACGCATCAATATACTGTAGTAAAAGCTTTGTATATTTAACAGATACTCCTTAACTGATGATTTAAAAAATTTTATCTTTGACAAAGATGTTATGTTTACTATGTTAAGTACAACCACTTACAGTTACCAGGTTTTTGTTTCGACCTGGTGATTATATCAGTTTGTCAGTTTGAAACATTGTAACA